ACCGAACTGACTGGGGACTCGCCTTCCGGTTTGGAGCTGAGGCTCTGAACTGCCTCCCCTGAAGCACACAGGCCTCCAGAGGGCGTGCTAACCCGAACAACAGCGAGTCCTCACTGGTCATCCATAGCCTTTGTTATTGATCGGCGTAGGAAGGTGTATTTAATACTATTCTCACCAGCGGGACTTGGTGGAAAGCCTGCTGAAGGACTTCTGAAAAAGATTTCTCTGATCCTCCTCCTAATCCAGTGGTTCTCAACCTTTCTAATGCCATGGCCCTTTAATACAGTTCCTCATGTTGTGGTGACTCCCAACCATAAAATTATTTTCTTTGCTACTTCATAACTGTAATTTTGCTTCTGTTAATGAATCGTAATGTAAATATCTGTGTCTTCCGATGGTCTTAGGCTCTACAGCAGGGGCTCTCAACCTGAGAGTCGCTAGCAGAGTCACCTATCATAATGTAAACACAGATGTTTACATTATGATTCATTAACAGGAGCAAAATTACAGTTATGAAGTAGCAATGAAAATAATTTTATGGTTGGGGGTCACCACAACATGAGGAACTATATTACCGATCCCTTTCCTGAACCTTCTAGGGTTCCAAGCCCTATTGAACCTGATTCTTTTTAAAAATATATATATTTTTTATTGATTTCAGAGAAGAAGGAAGAGGGAGAGAGAGAGAAAAACATCAATGATGAGAGAATCATTTATCAGCTGCCTCCTGCATGCTCCAAACTGGGGATGAAACTCACAATCCAGGCTTATTCCCTAACCGGGAATCGAACCATGACCTCCTGGTTCATACAAGTAGGTCAACGCTCAACCACTTAGCCACGCTGGCTTGGGCCAAGCTGATTCTTTTCTCAATTTTCCCAGGCTAGACTCTGCCCGCATGCTCCTACTGTGCATGCCCCAAAGATCTGCTGCGTCGTCTAGTTTGTGCTGCACACGGGCTTACCTCCACCTGCACCATCTTGGTTTCTTTTTTCTTTAATCCTCACCCAAGGATATTTTTCCATTGATTTTTACAGAGTATGGAAGAGAGAAGGAAAGACTGAGAGAAATATTGATGTGAGAGAAACACATCTATTGGCTGCCTCCTGCATGTGCCCAGACCAGGTCCCAGGCTGGGGAGGAGCCTGCAACCGAAGTACATGCCCTTGACCAGAATCAAACCCAGGACCTTTCAGTCCGAAGGCCAACGCTCTATTCACTGAGCTAGGCTAGGGCCTTTTTTTTTTTTTTTTTTCTTCACCATCTTGGTTTCTGCTGGTCATATGGCTAGCAAAGTCATTTCCCCTGCTGTTTTTTTGTTTTGTTTTATTTTTGTGTTTAAATATGTTTTTATTCATTTATTTATTAAAATATTTTTATTTATTTCAGAGAGGACAGAGAGGCAGAGAGAGAAATAGAAACGTCAATGATGAGAGAGAATCATTGACCGGCTTTCTCCATGCGTGCCCCACACCAGGATCGAGCCTGCAACCTGGGCATGTGCCCTGACTAGGAATTGAACTGGTGACATGGGAGGATGCTCAGTCAACGGAGCCACGCTGCCAGGCTCCCCTGTTGTTTTTATTCCTCCTTCGGTTAACAGGTTATCCTGGCTAATGACCAGTAGCAGAGTCTTCCTGCCCATTCAGGGGATTAAGTTCCCTCAGTGGAGAATGAGGCTGTCACCTGGGGACCCTGTGAATGCTGTGGCTTCCTAGTGAATCAGGCCCAATGTCTAACTCAGCTCCCTAATGCATCAAGCTTAATGGTCCATTCCATTTGCTCTCTTCCTAACTAGCTACCCATGCTAACGAGTAGTTATACTAACCAAATCCTGTTTATCTTCATCACCAGTGGAAGTGCCATTTTTTAAAACAAATTTTATTGATTTTTTACAGAGAGGAAGGGAGAGGAATAGAGAGTTAGATCAGCTGCCTCCTGCACACCCCCCACTGGGATGTTCCCAGAACCAAGGTACATGCCCTTGACCGGAATCGAACCTGGGACCCCTCAGTGCGCAGGCCGACCATCCATCCACTGAGCCAAACAGGTTTCGGCCGAAGTGCTATTTTGAAGCTCTCCTAAAGTGTCTGAAGCAGCCAGGATTTTATTATCTGTGCCTCTATTAACAGCAGTAATGGCAACCTCAGACTGATCACTTATACATGCAAGCTCCGTGCACTAAGTGCCATCCACGAGTCAGCTCTTTAATTCTCCCTCAATCCCATGAGGTTTTTATTGTTATCTGACTTTCCTGATGAGGAACTTGAGGTTTAGTAAACATGGATTAGCTGCCTCCTGCATGCCCTCTGCTGGGGACCAGGATTAGAACCAGCAACCTCTTGGAGCACAGGATGACGCCCAACCAACTGAGCCACGCCGGCCAGGGCTAAACCTATAAATAATTTTTATATTTTATTTGAGCCAAACTGACAATGGGCAGAAAGTAAGATGCTCAAGTTAAATGGCAGCTTGCAGTTTCTTCTATGCATTTGGAATTAAGGAGGGAATTAAAGGAAGATTAAGTGAAGGTGGGAGAAAGCAAAGTGGGGATCAGATCACAGGACAGTTAACAGATGAGGCTCTCTTGAGGGTGGTTACACCTTGGAGGGGTACTGCTTCTGACATGTCAAAGGCTTTAAACTGGATAAACAAGAGCAATGGACAGGAGCAATTAGTAAGTTACAAAGTGTGTTGTAACTTATTAACGCACCCCTTTTTCATCCATGGTATCTAGATGTCCTGTTGACATCTGCCAGATTCCTGTTCTGTTGCTTTACCTTGTTCATTAGGATGTGTCACACCTGAGAACAATCGTTGTTTAAGGTCAAAGCCAAGAAGTCAGGAAATGGTCACCATATGTATTTTTGAAGAAGTGACACACTTGTCAAACTTGTTTCTCTGTTCACCAGAGATGGCCTATGGTGCTGATGGATAGGTCCACTAAGCAACAGGCTCCGATTCCCCTTACTCTTTGAACCTAGGAAGTGAGCATCCCTAGCGAGAGGTGTTACCTAAGGAAGTTCTTGGTCTGTTTGGGCTGGGTGGCTTATACACAAGGGACATTTACTTCTCACTGTTCTGGTGGGGGGAAGATCCAAGCAGCAGCGTGGTGAAGGACCTCGTCCTGGTTCACAGCTGTGGCTTCTGGCTGTGCCCTCACGTGGTAGACTGCGTGAGGGAGCTCTGGGGAGGCTCATTTAGTAAAACACTATCCCATTCATGATGGCTCCACCCTCATGACCTAGTCACCTCCCCTCTAGGGCCCCACTTCCTGATGCCATTACATCAGGCTTTAGGATTTCAACATAGGAATGGGAGGGAGAGACAGCGACAGTTAGACCCTAGCAGTGAGTTCTCATCACTTTCTAGACCAAGCATGTCAAATTCAAAGGCTAACACGGGCCAAATAAACAAGGTTTAAGTTTATGTGGGCTGCAAGAAAACAAAAGCTTCAATTTTCATAGAAACGTAGGTTTATTTTGATAAGACATGCTGAAATAAATGAGTAATTGTTAACATAAAATAATAGGACATTTTAATAAAAATTAATATTTTTTCTTGCACATTAACTTACCAAACACTGAATAACTACACAAATTAATAAGTGTAACACATATAAATCTATTTTTTGTTGTTGTTGTTCTCCAGAAGTGAAATATTTCTGTTGCGCACACCAAACAAGTCAGTCTAAGACTAATGACGTGGCAATCAGCTGCTAAAAAAATTCCCTACTCATATTAGTGGGGAGAAATGGTGTGCCCGTGCATAAGGCCCATAAGGGAAATGAATGCAACATGATTATAGTGATCAGTCCTTAGTGAACACTGTAGCTCGTTAGTAATAACTAGAAGCCTGATGCACGAAGATTCATGCTAGAATGGGCCTTCCTTTCCCTTGCTGCTGGCACCACCTTTTCACTTCTGCCCAGCCCCGTCTTCCCAGAGGTCTGAGAGACCAGGGGTTGGGGGGGAACACCTGTGTTGTCATCATGCAAGAACTCAAGCGTCCTGCCCCCTCCCCTGTCGCTCAGCCCCTGTGTATGCAAATTAATCACCATCTTTGTCAGGTTAATTTGCATATCACTCCTGATTGGCTGGTGTGTGTAGCGGAGGTACGGTCAATTTACCTTTTTGTCTATTATTATGTAAGATTGTGTATGATAGGATTTTGTAAAAAATTAAGTTACAAAATTTTTATTAAAATGTTTCTTACATACTGTTATATTGGCTGGGCTGCAAAAATAATCGTTGTGCACTGCGTGTGGCCTGTGGGCCACGAGTTTGACATGCATGTTCTAAAGGTTCCAGGGTGTGTGAAAGGTGGAGAGAGTGACTGAAGACAATGGAGTGGAATGTGGTGCATTTTTTGGCAGGATCCATGGAGAATTCCCAAGTTTATAAAATTGCAAGAGACAGACTGCCATACTTGCCTACGGGTGGGAGCTGTGAACAGGATTGGGGCTGTGAGACCCAGATTTGGAGGGCACCCTAATTCCACTCGAAAATGTTATATTTAGACGCTTAGAAAGTATGATGAGCAAGTAACAGGTTACTCAACAGAAGTCTCGGTTCCCCTACCTGTAAAATGAGATACCGAGACCCCCTGTTCCAAACTGTGGAAAAGATTCAGTGAGATATGAGTGTAACCTTTCTGGCACTTAACAGGCACTTAGTAGATAGCAGCTGTTAGTCTTATCCTTTTAATTTTACAAGGATCCCTTTAGAGTAGGGGTGTCGAACTCAATCAGAGAAGGGGCCAAAATCTAAAATCCAGCCTAAATCGCAGGCCGAATGGTTTACTGAACAGTCATAAACTGTCATTGTGATGGAAACACAGCGGAGTGCAGTGATGACAGCGCGGTGCGGGCCACATTGCAAGGCCTGGTGGGACGGATTTGGCCCGCGGGCCTTGTGTTTGACACATGTGCTTTAGAGCTTGTTCGGATGATTGAACGTATTATAACTTACAGGATAATAACGAACAAATGTTACCCTCAGCAGATGCAGCTCTGTGGGTCCAGAGTGATGTCTGTAGCAGCGGAGAAGTATTTCTAGGTTCTTGGCCCGATGTCTTGGCAGCACCTTGACCTGAAGATGGCACCCAGGGTGCTGTGGGGCAGCCTCAGCCTGCTCCGCCTGCTGTGGTGTCTCCTTCCGCAGACAGGCTATGTGCACCCAGATGAGTTCTTCCAGTCGCCTGAGGTCATGGCAGGTAAAGCCCCCCGGGTGTGGCTATGATAAGTCACAGCACAGTCCAGATTGGAGCCGGTTGGATGTCCCGTGGGGAGGGAGACACATGGCTGTGCAGATGAGCAGAAAACCAGTGAGCCTCTCTGGTATGCAAATTGACCACCATCTTTATTGGCTAATTTGCATATCACTCCTGATTGGCTGCTGGGTGTAGCAGAGGTATAGTCAATTTGCATGTTTGTCTATTATTAGGTAAGATTATGTGTAATAGGATTTTGTAAAAATTAAGTTACAAGTTCTTACTCCAGAGAGAGTTGGAGGAAGAACTTGCGAGGGGGGACCTCACATCTCCTTCCTGAGTGATAACACTGATCTTCTGGATGATAGTCATGAAATGCCAGCCTCTTTGGTGTTTTCCTGTTTGGACCAACAGAAGAAGTTACTGAGAAGAAAAGCTGTTTTGTATTTCTCAGCGAAGGATTTGAGTTGGGCTTCCTCAGGGCTTGGGAAAACGTACACGGGGTTATAACCTGAGCCAATGAAAGCTTCCTGTGGTTTTATATGAGGCCGAGGGGACCCAGGCCTGGATGCTCCATTGTTAGAACTTACCTGCCTGGTGGTGTGGAGCACAGCATGGGGATGGTTGTCAGGGACCACAAGGTTCTCAGGTGCTGTGGGCACATGGCTTCCTCCTCAGTGCAATATGGCCTCTGGAGCTCCCGCCCTCAAGTCTAAAACCAAGTCTTTCCTGCCATTGCAGAAGAGATGGGCATGCCTTCTCTCTTCAAGGGCATTTTTGAAAGTCTCAGACCATTTCCATCTCATCAGTGAGAATATATCACATAGCAACAGCTAGCCTGCAAAGAAGCTGAAACATACCGCCTTCAAACCTGACCAAATGCCCCACTTAGGAGACTAAGGAAGAAGGAGGGAATGGATACTGGGAAGACTATTTAGCTATTTCTGCCACACGGCTCAACACTGGATTCCAACTTGAAAGGTCTAGTCTTCCTTTCCACGCTTTTTTTTTTTTTAAAAACCGGAGCCGATGAGAAGCAGCCATATTGATCTGATCCTAGCTTTTCTGTTTCCCGTTCACCTTTTGACATAGAGAGAGAAAGGTTAAAAGGCTGGAGGAATAAGTAGGAGAAACAAAGAGCCCTGAACAAACCAGCAGCGTTATCGAGCAGGAGGAGAAGGTGTGGGCTTGAGTTGAGGAGCAGAAATCAAGAGTTTGTTTCCTTCAGCCCACCCCTCAGAGCCCCGGGGCGCGGGGTGCAGGATCATGGACCAGACTCAGGCAGCGAGTATTCTTTGAATGACACAAGTCCTGCTTGAATATGTTCTTCTTATGAAAAATTAAAATACCATAGACAAGTCTAACAATTGCTCATTCCCTTTCCCTTCTTCACACTGCCTATCCTGGAACACAACCATAATTACAGAGATGCTTTTTTTTTTTTTCCTCACGTTGGAGACTTTAAACTCCGAGGAGAGGAATGGACCTCCCCCTGATGCTCCCCATACACCCTGTCCAGGGCACATTGTCCCCTCACACCCCAGGAATGGTTCCTTCCCAGGTGGGGCCTCCGACGGGCTGGCCTTCCCTATCGCCATTTCTGGTGCTGCATGACAAATCACCACGAACCCAGAGCTTAAAACCGTCAGGTCACTGTTCTATACATTGGGAGTCCAGCCTGGACTCTCCGCTCAGGGCATCACAAGGTTGAAATCGAAGTATGGCCGCGCCGAGCTCTAGTCTGGAAGCTCTGGGGGGAAATCAGCTTCCCAAGCTCATTCTTTATGTCTTTTTCAGTTTATGGAACTAAAGTTCCCACTTCCTTGCTGAAAGTCAGCCAGGGGCTGATCTCGGCTCCTAGATCGTACTTGCCAACGGCCCCCTCCATCTGAGACCGCAATGGTGCATCATCCAATCGTCCTAGTGGTTTGAATCTCTGACGTCCTTTTCTGCTTGTAAAGGGCTCGTGTGATTATGTCAGGCCCATCGGCATTACCTCCCTGTCTTAGGTTCTGCTGGTTCAACATAAACTAATCCCAAAAGGAAAATTCGCCGGGACAGGTTTGGCTCAATGGATAGAGCGTCAGCTTGGGGACTGAATGGTCCTGGGTTCGATTCCGGTCAAGGGCATGTACCTTGGTTGCGGGCATATCCCCAGTAGGGGGTGTGCAAGAGGCAGCTGATCAATGACTCTCTCTCATTGATGTTTCTGGCTCTCTATCTCTCTCCCTTCCTCTCTGTACAAAAATCAATAATATATATATATATATATATATATATATATATATATATATATATATATATTTTTTTTTTTTTTTTTTTTTTTTAAAGAGGAAATCCATCATCTCCACGTCCCAGGGTGTACTCGGGGAGTGTCCACGAGGGGGATGGGAAATTAGGCGGCCATCCTGAAACATTGTCTACCCTCGTCTCTGAGCTTGGGACTGACACACCCCTCTGTCCCTCTGCAGAGGACATCCTGGGCATAGAGGGCGCCCGGCCCTGGGAGTTCCAGCCCAGCAGCTCCTGCCGCACGGTGGTCTTCCCGCTGCTGACCTCTGGCTTTGTCTTCTGGCTGCTCAAGCTCTGGAAAGAGCTGTGCCCGGGGCCCGGCCTGGTAAGCGGCTATGTGCTGCTGGTGGGGCCCCGGCTGCTCCTCACGGCCCTCTCCTTCGCCCTGGACGTGGCCGTCTACCGCCTGGCGCCGCTGTGGCAGGCGGAGCGCTGGAACGCCCTGGTCCTGCTGTCCGGCTCCTACGTCACCCTGGTCTTCTACACCAGGACCTTCTCCAATGCCATCGAGGGACTGCTCTTCGCGTGGCTGCTGGTGCTGGTGTCGCCCCGTGTGGCTCGGGGCCCCGCACCCAGGAAGCCTGCTCCGGGCTCGTGGTGGCACAGCTGGCTTCTTGGGAGCATCCTGGCGGCTGGCTTCTTCAACCGGCCCACCTTCCCGGCCTTTGCTGTGGTCCCCGTGTTCCTCTGGGGCGTCGGCGGAGCCACAGACTCCGCCTTCAAGTCGCTGACCAAGGCGGCCCTGGGGCTCCTGCCAGGAGCGACCCTCACGGCAGCGGTGTTTGTGGCCGCGGACAGCTGGTACTTCTCCCGTCCGTTTGCCGGTAGACCCAACACCCTCGTCCTGACACCTGCCAACTTCTTGCAGTACAACCTGGACCCCCGAAACCTGGAGAGGCACGGCACGCACCTGCGGCTCACGCACCTGGCGGTCAACGGCTTCCTGCTCTTCGGGGTGCTGCATGGCCAGGCCCTGCGGGCTGGGTGGCAGCAGCTGCGCGTCTTTTGCCAATTGCACTCCCCGAGGGTGTGGGATGCCCGGATCCTGCTGCCCAGCCGCAGCTCTCACCTCCTGCTCCTCTACTTCACGCCCCTGGCCCTGCTGTCTGCTTTCAGCCACCAGGAGGCTCGGTTCCTGATCCCCCTGATCGTCCCCCTGGTCCTTCTCTGTAGCCCACAGACCCAGCCTGTGCCCCGGAAGGGCGCCCTGGTCCTCTTCAATGCCCTGGGCGCCCTCTTCTTCGGCTGCCTGCACCAGGGCGGCCTGGTGCCCAGCCTGGAGCACCTGGAGCGGGTGGTGCACGCACCTGTGCGCCCAGGCGTGCCCACCCACTACACCCTCCTCTTCGCCCACACCTACATGCCCCCGCAGCACCTCCTGCACCTCCCAGCCCCGGGGGCGTTTGTGGAGCTGATAGAAATGGGCGGGACCGAGGACCCGGTCCTGTGCCAGACCCTGAGCAACCTAACCAGACTACCAGCCTGCCAGGCGGCCGGCGGGCCGCGGCTCTGCCGCCTTTTCGTGGTGACCCCCGGCACCACCCGGCCCGCCACGGAGAACTGCAGCTTTCCCCTCAAGAGCGAGACTCGTGTGTTCCCCCACTTGACCCTGGAGGACCCACCGGCCATGTCCTCCCTGCTGAGCGGGGCTTGGAGGGACCATCTCAGCCTTCACATCCTGGAGCTGGGGGAGAAGCCCCAGACGTGACAGAGGACCCGGGGCTGTGGGTGAAGGCCCCGCCACCTCCTCTCCGGGAAGCTGGGCCGGGACAGAGGCCCCTGCCCTCCCAGCACTCCCACCACCGCCTCTCCCGCTCACAGCCCTTGCTTCATCTTCTGGGTAATCCGGCACCCTTATTCCCTCAAAGACCAAAGATCTGTCCAGTCACAATCCCGAAGCCAAGGTCCTGATGCCCCGAAGAATCTGGTATAACCAACCGGTCCCTAATGTTGGTCCCTGCCCTATTCCTTCCAGAAACTGTGATGTTTTAAGTATATCACTGCACCTGGTTGTGAAGAGACAATGATCTGCTAATGACATTCTTGACTGAACTCCAAACCTCCCAGGATGCCTTGCCTCTTGTTGTCATGACAACCCGTTGGCTTCCCAGACACCTGGAAGGAGGCAGTGTGGGATGAGGAGGGGGTAGGGAGTGCAGACTCAGGGGACCGGAGTTCTAGTCCTTGGTCTGTCGTTCGCTGTGTGATCTTAAGAATGCTCCCTCCCCTCCCCCAGCCTGTGTCTGGCCTGTACAATGGGTGAGAGCCTCTCGGAGGTGTCTGCCAGCTAACACTGTGTCCCTCCTGGGGCTGCAGCACGTCCCCAAAGCTCTTTAAGCATGGAAGTGAGTGAGGTGGTATATTTAATTGCACTTTGGTGTCTGCTGTCTTAATGTTTGTTGTTTTTTACATTAAAAAATATTTTTATTGATTTCAGAGAGGAAGGGAGAGATAGAAACATCAATGATGAGAGAGAATTATTGATGGGATGCCTCCTGCATACCCCATTCTGGGGATCGAGCCCCAAACCCAGCTTGGCCCTGACTGGGAATCGAACCGTGACCTCCTGGTTCATAGGTCAACACCCAATCACTGAGCAACACTAGCTGGGCTATTGTTGTGTTTTCAACTAAAAAAGTAGTTCTGGAATATTTCTCTTCACTCCCTTCTACTCCTGTCCCTGAACGGTAGTGGGACATTTCAGCATCTCATCCTTTAAGGATCACTCTCCCTTTAAGAACCATTTCCCCTCCTCAGCCTGCCCCAGGGAGAGTGGAGAATTCACAAAGCTCGGTCAGCATCTAGCAGCACTTGAGGATAAGCAGATGCCTTTCTTTTAAATGTGGCCTGGTCCCTCTGCTCAAAGCCCTCGTCACAGCATGCAGAGCACACCCCATGCCAAACCCACACCTGCTGCTTTGATGGAAGCCATCGCACCCCTGAGCATGTTGCTCCCAACACAGGTATTCTCTACCCAGTCCACTGGGAACGTGAGGCGCTGTGGCTCTACCCCTGTCCTCATCTGCCTCCTCACACCTCTGACCGCCACAGAGACCAGTCAGCACAGAGGAGACCAAACCTGAGTCCTTTTCTAGTTCTGCCTTCTGCTGGCGAAAGCTTTGGAGCATCTTAAAGTTACAACCACCACATGTACACTGTTCTGACTGCTACTAGGATCTTAGTGCCACATCTTCCTCATGTCTCCAACCCCAAGGAAGAGAAAATTCAGTGGTACGCTGCTAAATGTGTGGCAATGTTCTCTTGGAGGCAAAAATAAAAATTAAAAAAAAGAATTAAGTGCCCAATTTGTAGCATTTGCCAATTTCTGTGGTGTCAATATTCCCACGTGGCTGATTGCAAACTAAAATGATGTTTCTGGGCCCCAAGTTGGGAGATGCCAAGGATCTACCCTCATCAAACAGTGTGAGCTGGCTCTAGCACACGGGCAGGTATTTCCCTCCTTTACACTCTAGAGACCCATTCATGACAACTCGTTGTTTTTCTGGTTTATGTTTCTATGAACCCGTGATTTGTCTTCCTACTCCTTAGTACTTAGCATCATCTCTGGCAAATGATAAGCACTTATTTTGCAGCCAGAGATGGCATTTCTGTCCACGGATATAAAGCCAAGGGCCTCTTTGGAGACATCCAAGACTCTAGGCTCCCAAACTCCTCTGGCTGCTGCCTCTTCGCTTCCCCATTTGGATCGACAACCATGAATTCCGCGGAGAAACTGTTGGCTTAGCAGCCCATGTGGATTGTGTTGGTCTGAGCTCTAATAAATGTGTCTGTAAAGTGTGTGTGTGTGTGTGTGTGTGTGTGTGTGTGTGTGTGTAAAGGTGAGCTGGAATTGCCCTGCAGGATGAGGGGATGAATCGATTCCCTTTTAGGCAAAGCTTAGAAGAATCTGAAAGGCAGGCTGGGAGTCTGTTGTCAATGGGAAGAATTTGGTCTGTTTCTTTTCTTTTTAAAATGGTTTTATTGATTTTAGAGAGGGAGAGGGGTAGATATCAACACTCATCAGCTGCCTCTTGCACACCCCCTACTGGGGATCCAGCCCGAAACTGGGGCATGTGCCTTGACTGGGAAGCTCTTGGTTCATGGGTTAATGCTCAACCACTGAGCAACAGCAGTCAGTCCTGGTCTGTTTATTTTTTATTATTTTTTAAAATATATTTTATTGATTTTTGTAAAGAGAGGAAGAGAGAGGGATAGAAAGATCAATGAGAATCATCAATCAGCTGCCTCTTGCACACCCCCTACTGGGGATGTGCCCACAACCAAGGTACATGCCCTTGACCAGAATTGAAACCGGGACTTTTCAGTCCACAGGCTGACATTCTATCCACTGAACCAAACTGGTTTAGGCCCTGGTCTGTTTCTTTAGTAACAGGATAACTGGTGAGAAGGTAAGCCACTGACTACAAACACTGGAGGCTTTTACAATGAAGTGGGGAGGCATCTAGTAGGAGCAGAAAGGGCCTAGTTTTCTGTCTGCTCCCAGAAATGAGGGTGTGTGACTTAATTCTTATCCACTCCTCCCACAAAAATTAAGCAAGTGCCCCTTCTCTTGATCTCCTTCCTTTCTTACTAAATGGCCAGTTTGTCTTGAAATTTCATTGCTTCCTGCACTTCTTCCCTTTTTGTCTCTTCTAGAAAAAAACACACAGAGTATGCTTATTTATGCCGAGGGTATGGATTTGGGCTGGGGACTGCTAATACTGTGGTACTCCGATATCCACAGACAATGGGTGGCACTGAGGCCAATGAGGCAGACAGGACAGTGAACTGAACAAGCTCTTTAGGCTCATCACTGCCAGGCTCCAGGGAAAATCCAACGAGTTGCCTCTAGTTTGGGAGAAAGATTTCTCCTCTGATGGGAGAGGAAGGTAGGATGCCAAACCAGGACTTTGGTCATGAGGAGATGGGACTTCTGGCCTCAAAGAGGAGTAAGTAGCACCTCTGATGGGAAGACTGGAGGTTGGGATGCCAAATCAGAAGTCTGACCATAAGGAAAATGGAGAAGCTACTTTAGCTCCTCCATCCCCCGGTAGGTCTCCCGCCCTATCCAGCTTCCTGTGACTACCAGAAAATGGCCAGAGTATAAATTCTGTTTGGTTACCAGCCAGTCTCAAAGCTCCTTCTGTAGTTTTCTGATGGAATAACAGTGTAGCCTAATCAGAGGCGATCAGAAATTCAGTCAGAAGCCTCAAGTGACCTGACCCTCTAAAATGGGAAACAGGAATCCAGGTAGCTTGCTCCTTAGCAGGCAGTAGCCCTAATACCCAGTGGTGACGGTAAGGAGTAGGAAGGCAGGCATTGGAGATGAGGCCTGGTAAATGCTATAGAAAGCTGATTATGCCGAAACCCATTTGGCTCATTGGGTAGAGCATCGGCCTGCAGACTGAAAGGTCCCAGGTTCGATTCGGGTCAAGGGCATGTACCTTGGTTGCGGGCACATCCCCAGTAGGGGGTGTGCAAGAGGCAGCTGATCGATGATTCTCTCTCATCGATGACTCTAACTCTCTTCCTCTCTGTAAAAAAATCAATAGAATATATTTAAAAAGAAGGGGAAAAAAAGAGAAAGCTGATTATGGACTTTAAGGCCTGGAATTAAGCACCTGTATTCACATCCAGCTCTGTAAGGCCATGGGCAACTTAAGAAAGTAGCCCACCCTTGTCCATAAATGGTAAGGATTACGTAATATAACCCATCCAGAGGGCAATTAGCAAGCGCCAACACAGAGGAAGCACTCAGTCTGTGTGAACTAGTACTCCCATGGGCCTACAGTCCCGAGGAACCCTAATCCATCTTGGCGGAGAAGTACCACACTCATAGCCATTTCTCAGCTCACACATTTAATCAGAGGATTCGGGGCATCTACTGGGCTGTCTTTCCATCCATGATCTCCACTGGAGGTAGTGCCCTACTACGTCAGTGCAGAGGCAGCAGCATCTATCAGGGTTTCAGTCTCACACGCAGAGGGCAGGCTCTCCTTCGGGCTGTGGCGTGGTCCATGGCTCTCTGTAGGTGGTGGGTCAAGGCCTAGCTTATCTTCATTGTTGTTATGCTTCGGGGCTTTCTTCACACACTGCGCCCTGACCCATCACAGGGCTCACCGGGCATGTCCGTCTGGCCTGGGCTCTCTGGTGCGCGGCTCTCTGCAGGCTGACAGGAGTCAGGAGGGGAAGCCATGCGCAGGGCCGGGGATGACTCCTAAGCGCCGAGGCCCGTGTCCAGCCAGAAGGGAGAGGGGCGATCTCGGTCCGGATTAAGGGTTCGCTCCCGGGCCCCGCTGGCTACCTGGTGGCGGCGGCCCCGGGCGCTCCCGGAGGCCGCGGCGGAGCTCCTGGGTGAAGGTGTCTCTGAAGCGGGCAGCGCGGCGGCCCAGGGAACCCGCGGGCCCGGCCGCGAGGCCTCGCAGACGCCGGGCCGCGTCCTGGCCGCGCAGCTGAGCCTGCAGCAGCGCGAAGGCGGTGAGCTGCGCCGCACGCCGGATGGGCCGCGACTCGGACAGGCGCTCCACCAGCTGCGGGTTGTGCAGCAGGACGGCCAGCAGCCGCCTCAGCACCATCGTTGGAGCGGCCCGGAACCCGAGCGCCGCGCTCTGGCTTCCGCCCGGAGGCGCCGGACGTCGGACCACGTCTGAGCCCCGCGCCGCCGGGTGACGTCACTGCCGCGCTGGGATTGGTCGGCAGAGCCGCCTCTCGCGTTTCCGGTTCCGCCGCCTCCGCGTCCGCTCGTTCTTCCCGTGGTTGAGGCGTCCTCGTCGACCTCTGCACTATGTCCAGCGGCCTCCTGAAGGCGCTGCGCAGCGACTCCTACGTGGAGCTGAGCCAGTACCGGGACCAGCACTTCCGGGTGAGGAGGGCCGGGCCGCGGGGAGGCGAGGCCCTGGCCCAGAACCCTGCGACCTGGTTTTCTCCGGTCTCATTGTCGTCCCTCATCCTCGGGTTTCCCGAAACACAAAGCGAGGCCCCGGGGCCTGCTGGGGAATGGGTGCCGAGGGCGTGGGGCTGTCACGGAGTCCCCTTCTCTCACAGAGAGGGAATGGGGGGCTCGCTCTCCCGTTCCCTGGGAGCCGCCCCCGGGGCCTGGCCCAGGGCAGAGGCGTTGGCGCGGCGGCAGAGGCGGCTCCGTTTCCCCGGGCTGTGCCTCGGGGACTTTGGGATGAGGGCAAGGCGTGTCCTTGGGACACCTAGAGTCCATGGAGGCGCCTCCCTGACTCAGATACCAGAGCTTTTTACTTCTTGATTTGTTGTAGTGAAAAATATCTGAGCATATAAACTACCCAAGCAGTTATTTTGAACATTTTTTTTATTATGGTATCACATAATTGTCCTTATCCCCCCAATCCCATCCCAAACTCCTCCCTACATATGCCCCCCCCCGCCCCCCTTGTCCATGGCCATTGGCCAGGCCCATATGCATGCACACAAGTCTTTTGGTTGATCTCTTCCCTTTACTCCCATCCTCCCCTACTTTCCCTCTGAGGTTTGAGAGTCTAATCGCTGCTTCTCTTTCTCTGGGTCTGTTTTTGTTCATCAGTCTATGTTGTTCATCATTTCCTCTAGATGTGTGAGATCATGTGATCTGAACATTTTCTATGGGAGTGTTACAGGGGTACCCTGTCTCTGCAAAGCCATGTATTCTTTCACTGCAAAGGATTAAAAAGCCCCCTTATAATAAATTGGTTCAGGGTCTGGAAATTAAACCGGTACCATTAGACTCTAATGGTTAGAGGATCCAGTACTGAGAATATGGAGTGTGCAGGGAAAAGGCATGCCACTTGTATGACAGCATGGTACAGAAGGAGACAGAAGGAGGGCTCTGTGCAATGTAACCTTCAAGCCATGACCCTCTACTAAAAGCAATCTGGATCTTGCTTCATAGGTTGTGAACATCTCTCTCTCTCCCACCTCTTCTCTTTCTCTCTTCTCTCTCTCTCTCCCTCCCTCTTTCCTTCCCCCTCCAAGCCCCTGAAGAGTATTTGTGGTAGATTGGAATGATGAGAGAAGCTGATTCTCGAAGCAGAATTTATAATAGGATTACTATTTAAGCAGGGCTGTTCTTAGATTGTGTTGCTTAACTTTTTCTCTATTTGAAATTCAGGGTGACAATGAAGAACAGGAAAAATTACTGAAGAAAAGCTGTACATTGTATGTTGGAAATCTTTCCTTTTATACAACCGAAGAACAAATCTATGAACTCTTCAGCAAAAGTGGAGACATAAAGAAAATCATTATGGGCCTGGATAAAATGAAGAAAACAGCATGTGGTTTCTGCTTTGTGGAGTATCCTTCCTGTGTTGTAGGTAGCTGTTGGATGAGTGAGACCTGAGTGGTTAGTCACCTGTTTAAAAAAATTAGTGAGGATATTCGATAATTAGCATCTCTATACATCTCTCTGTCTCTTCTTCTTTCATCTACCTCTTACCTTCTGTCTAGTATGTCTTCACTCTTATATTGTGAAAGCTGGTATATTTACATTTTGTTTTCGAAATCCATGCTTTGTTTATAGTTAATTCTTTTTTTTTCTTTTTTTTAATCCTCACACAAAGTATGTTTTTATTGATTTTACAGAGAAAGGGGGAGAGAGACAGAGGGAGGGGGGAGAAGAGAGAGATAATCAATGTTTCTCTCACATGAATCCTATGATAGCTCAGTTGGTTGGAGCATCATCCTGATAGGCCAAGATTGTGGGTTTGATCTTCAGGCAAGGGCACATACAAGAATCAACCATTGAATTCATAAAATTTCTTCTCTCCCTCTCTTAAATCAATAATAATAATACATTTTTAAAAGTCAAAGGAATAGCATCATTCTAAGCCTAGAGACAGTCAGTTACCAGTCTCTTGGGTAACTCCAGAAAAAATCCTGTGCATGTGTAGCAGGGTACTACAGTCCTCTTAGTGATTGTTCCATATTAGCACATGGAGGTCTACCTCTTTTTAAAATGGCTCTATAGTATGTATCTCATTATATTAGATGTATATAATTATATTAGGTATATTCATTATATTAGATATATATAGCTTGCTGTTTATAGATAAAAACCAAAACTATATTTGTAATAATTTATTCTCTCCCTGGAACTAAATATTGAAACTTCTGGATTTATCCTTTTCCTAATACTTTTCTTTCTTTGGTCCATTTGTTCTATATTCTGAGAAATTTAAAACACGATCTAATATGTCTTAAAAATTTTTTCCTTGTCCTGAATTATCTGTTTCTTTTGGTTGTATTTTTGCTGTAAATCTTCCATAAAGGTCTGGTGATCCTTGGGTGTGCAATCAGAATTAGGAGAAAGAAGGGTGGTTTTGTGGACTCGGGCAGAGCTGCTGTCTCCAGTTGTTGCCTTACCTTTGGATATGTGGGTTTACCAAATGCCAGGGGAAAAAAGGGATTGTATTTTGGCCAGCTAACATCAAGACAGTGCCCTAGTTTCTCCAGACAGTTTGTTCAGAACCCTGTTATTTGATTTGTATTGTACTTGCCTGGGATTAAATGCCTTCCTGCTAGCAAGTCTTCCCACGTAGAGACTGTTAACCCTTTCTGCAGCTTCACTTTTTATTCAACTTTGGTAAGAGCACCTGAGTTTACTGTCCCCTTCTTAAGCTCCTTCAGAATATTTCAGACTAACTTTGTTTCATCCATGAACACTCCCATCGGCTTTTGTTGAATCACTTAGTCTGCTGCTAGCCTCTTCTCTTCTGGGTGTATGTTTTTTTCCTAATTTAAATGAGGGTCTTGAGAAGGAAAGGAGGGAAATGTGCTCACTATCAGCTCGAACCAGAAGCCCCACTTTTAACTTTTGTGTCTAATTTCTGGGCTCTGCAAGCTTCTTCCTTCCATTCTCCCTTAGATGCAAGAGACTAGTATCCATGTTTTGTTTTTTGCCTCTGATAACAATAGTTCACAGGGGATGGGGAGAACAGTGAAAACACAAAAGACAAAATCCTACTCAAAGATAATAATCAGTCCCTGAGAACTGTGGTATTTTTGCATTTTTTCTTGTAAGTCAAAGATCAATAATTATAATGGCAAATACCCAAGAGAGATGCTTCATTGGCAGTGTTGTTTTTTTGTTTGCCCTGTTAGCATGCATTCCATTCATTCAACAAATTACTGGTGGCCGGATACTGAAATTTCAGCAAGCGTTTCCCTGTGTAATTAAAGCATTTCTGAGTCTTTTCTTCTAATGAAATACAACGGCAATTCCATATGCACTGTGACCTCTCAAGGTTGTTCTTGAATATACAGCTCAAACTAAGAATGGCATTGATTCCTATGATGAGTGCATTTTGTGGCATAAACCTGCCCAGAACATACATATTTTGCAATCAAAATATGGAGAGAATGGGACCATGTAGTTATTAACAGGATCATTCAGGAAATCATGGTCAATGTAGCCATGGATAAGCGTCCGTCATATTTGACTCTAGTGCTTCGGGACCAACAGGCCTTTGCAAACCGATGTCTTTAAACTCTGTCTAGTTGAGTTTTTGTAGTTCCAAAAAGATTTGGAGAAATGCTATATAGTATTCCTTAATGCTTATACTTAAGATACTACATAAGAGCAGATGCGGAAAACGCCATGCGGTACATAAACGGAACTCGTCTGGATGACCGGATCATCCGCACGGACTGGGATGCCGGCTTTAAGGAGGGCAGGCAGTATGGCCGGGGACGGTCTGGAGGCCAGGTGAGCAGGCAGGTTCTCTGGGCTCAGCCTTTACCTGGGATTCCAGTCCTAATGACAAGTGTTTTGTCTATTTGTATTTGCTCTTTTGAAATTAACTTTCTATAATTTTGGCTTGAAGTGAATCCTAAATCACCCATTGAGATTAGTAAATTATTTTCTTAATGCAATGGTATATTCTGTACATTACTGGACTTTTGCTAGGGGAGATATTTTCCACCTGCAGAAGTGTCTAGAACAAAAGCAAAATGCACTGAAATGAATTTTGTTTTTACTTAAAAATAGCCTAATTTAAGTACCTTGCACTGAGCTATTTTTGAATGGTGGTGAATGAGTGTACACCTGATGTTTGGTAAGAAACAAACAAAACCCCACAAACTATTAGGTAGTCTGAGATAATTCTGCAAGAAAGTTGCTTTAAAAAATTATATCCTGCTTGACTATTCATTCACATTACATCTGAAAAGGCTTAGCTGTTTGGCATATTTGTGGGAGGCATATTTATTACAGCAATCTTCTCTATATTGTAACCTGTGTTCTTTTCAATTAAGGTGCGAGATGAGTATCGACAGGACTATGACGCTGGGAGAGGCGGCTATGGAAAACTGGCCCAAAACCAGTGAGCAGAACCATCATGAAAAACTCACTCCTTGGCCTGCCGAGTTTGATGTACATTGCCTAAGGTCTGCAAACCTGCATTTTTACAAATATTTGATCAGTGTCTCTGCTGAGCCAGACACCACTTCATGGCTTTCCTCTGAAAATTATTAAAGGACAGAAGCCAAAAGAATGCCTTTAATTCTATATTGGGCATGTGTGAGGTTACCAGAATGATTTTCTTACCAGGTCAGAAATCGTGTTCCTTGGCAACGGAGTATATATATGTTGATTTATCAGCCCAAACCACCACACGTCTTTTAGGAAAATTGGAAAAAGTTTACAATTTTGTTTACTCTGTTTGTGTACAAGCAGGTTCATGTTCTACACATTGGGGCCTGTAATTACTATTTTAAAAAAATTTTAAGTTGCCTTGAGATAAAGTTGAATAAATGGAGTTTTGTGATATTTTATATCTTTGCTCTAAATTAGGAACCGATGTTTGACAACTGAATTTTCCCCCTTTGTTGAATGCTAATCTCTAAAAGCAAACTTAGGAAGTCAAGAGAACTTCCTAAAGAGTAAGCCTTAGACAGTCCCAGGGTATATACCTGCTCACATGCTTTGTATGTCAGGAAATTAGGTACAGGACTTGGAAGGTATTTACTAAGTACATTTAAAAAAAAAAAGCCAAGTTTGATTTGTATTATGAAGAACCTCAAATACTCTAAGGGAAGTGAGGACATTGTCAGTAGGAAATGGGATGAAATATCAGAGGACGCTAGTTAAAACATTGTCTTGAAACGTGGAGGGTTGCTGTGAGGGCCATCAGATTTATTGTCTTTGTTTTCAGAGTGATCTTGGGAATAAAATAGGTCTAAAAAAAAAAAGAGCCTAATGAAAAACGATCAGAAGTGCTCTCCTCAGGAAATATGTTTTGGCCAGTTGTCATGTTGAAGTCCGTCTTGTTTTTTTATTACGTAATTGTGCTTACTGAGTTTCAGAGCCTTGACAGTAATGGTCTCCACAGAGAGGGGAGTCCAGAGTATTTACTTTGCATTTGTAAGGCAAGAGGTGATTTCTCTCTAATAGTATGTTTTCCCTTTTTTTTTTTAATTTATTGGGGTGACATTGTTTAATAGGGTCATAGGTTTCAGGTGTAGATTTCTACAAGATCTGTATATTGTGTTGTGTGCCCACCTCCCAAAGTCAAATCTTCCTTCACTGTATTAGATCCCCTAATCCCCCACCCCGCCCATTCCCTTAGCAACCACTGCACTATTCGAGTCCATGAGTTTGTTTTATATCCCACATATGAATGAAACCATATGATTCTTAGTTTTTTCTGACTTACTGCACTTAGCATAATACTCTCTAAATCCATCTGTGTTGTCACAAATGGCAGTATTTTGGTTTTTTTTTAATGGGTGAGTAGTATTCCATTGTATATATGTACTACATCTTCTTTATCCGAGCCTCTATTGCAGGACAATGGTTGTCTCTGTTGTTCATTTAAAACTGCTAATCTAGTAAAATTTTTCCTGACATTAAGAGATTTTTTTTCACCTAGCAACAAAGTATCTCCAAACTTCTTGTAGTTTGTGAAACTTGGGGCTGAAGTATCTCAAATGTGAACATCTTGACACTAGGTAAGTATAGGTTTTCTCATTGAAATTGAAACAGGTTACTTGAATTTTTATAAAAGCTATAACTACTTGTAAGTGCTTAAGAAAAAAACATTTGCAAATATTTTAATTTTGTGAGGCCATACTGCTGACTTAAAAAAATTTTTTTACACTCTCGTTTGAGTTTAATGTATTTTATATTTTTTTAGTAAAGCATAACTCTGATTTCTACAGACCATAAAACCACAGACAGTGGGGTTCTACGTGGAACTGTGACTTCTGTAACAGATTTCAATAAAGTTGGACCAACTTATCCTTGTCTGTGCCCGTTTCCTCACCAAGAAAGAGGGACAGTGGAACTGTCTTACTCTGGAATATCTATGATTACGTTTGGGGGGGAATCTATGAATAATGTTCAGAACTTGCCCATTTTGATTTGACAGTCACTTGTCATATATAGCTAATTAAATTAAAACATTCAGTTCCTCATTTACACTAGCCACATTTCAAATGCTCAATAGCCACATTTGGCTAGTGGCTATTGTAGTGGATGCAACTTTAGAACACTAGAGACCTGGTGCATGAAATTCATGCACTGGTAGCGTCCCTAGGCCAGGCCAGCTATCAGAGCTGATCAGGGCCTTCCTTCATTCCGTGCCACCCCTACCCCCTGGTGGTCAGCGCACCCCAAAGCAAGCAATCGAACTCCTAGTCTCCGGTCGAACTCCCAAGTTAGTCTTTTATGAATATAGATTATACATATAGATTCCATCACTGCAGACAACTCTATTGGACAGTGCTTTTTAAGGGTAGGCCGCTTGGAGCGTACACTGGTCATATTCATAGATGAGTGCTGTCATGACTGAAGTGTCACTTGGAAAAATTACTACTCACCAAACAGTACATGCTATTCAATACAAGAGAACACACATTTATAAAGGCATTTCATTTATTTTTCAAAAAAATATTTTTGCTAGGAGGTTTGAGTCATTTTACATTATCACAACCTTTAAATAAATTCTTTTTTCTGACCAAAAGGTACTTCTTAAGAGAACAGCTTGTGTAGGTCTGCTTTTGTAAAACCCCAATACAATTAGCGCTTCTCTGATGGTATCCCTAGGCCTTCTTAATTGTCTACTGGCCAGGAGGCAGAGCCCAGCACATAAGGTATGTGCTTTATAGTTGCAGATTAGTTTGGTTTCTTAACATCAGTAAGCAGAGCAGGTAGTCAGTATGTCTAATTCACACTATAAATACAGATTCTCGCCTGATGGTTCTGACCCGCCCAGAACTCCCAGTTATCTCTTAAACCAATGAACTACAATTGCAAAGAGAAAGGGCAGCTCAGCTTAGACTAGTGCTGGCTGAACTTGTTTTGTTCCAACTATGAATTCAAGATGACCAATGTTAACTCGTCTTGAATGATAATAGAAAATACAATGCAAAGCTTAAAAAGGGGTTTGGGGACTGAGGAGCAAGTGCTGCTTTTTCCTTTAGAAGGTTCCTTTCCTTAGGAGAAGGTCGGTTCTCTACAACCTTGCCAGAGCTAGAAGAGTTAAGTCTACATTCATTGCTATACATTTAACAAAAGGAAAAAAAAAAAAATCACTGGAAGCGCAGGCTACAGACAGGTAAGCTTGCTGATGGAGAAAACTGGGCAGCTTGCTGAAGATGCATCGTAAGTAGCTTTTAGTTTATACAAGGTCTGCACTCAACCCCAAAAGCATAAGGTCTACCCACCTCGTGGGCAACAAGTCAGGGACAAGTTGGCGACAGTAAAAACAATGCCTGTCCCTTCCACCAACAGCCCAAACTATATTTAAAAAACGTCTGTTGCAAGGAAGCAACTATTGCAAACGTCAATAAAAAGGCCACTCTTGGGCTAGAGGTTTATAACTAATCACAAGAGGGGGAAAGTGACTGATAAAACCAAGTTTCATGAATGCAGAGAAACATTTTAACCAGATTTAAAATATTTGTAGTTTAGACTAAAGCATGCTGAGCAATGCATCCCAATGTGTCCCATAAAGCTGGAAGGGAATGAGAAATGACGAGACAGCTCACTTCCGGTTCTCTATGAACATCCCTGCGAGCCTCAATGTGGAGATGATGACAGTTTCTCAGATTGGAGGAAACGGCAGCTCAGGCGTTGGGCACTCATTAAGCTTCTGCATGCCGAATTCTGTCAGTAAGGAAGTGAGAGATGGAGCTCTAAAGTATAAGACGTTTTAAATCAAAAACCTAGTTATTGGCTACTTTGTACAGCTACAAAAAAGTTAGGTAAATGTGTCACAAATTTGAAAAAACCTCATTTTGCACACTTTATGTCTGAAAGCTGAAAAATCTCAAGATGTCCTCCCCATTTTAAATTGTAATTTTTCTAATGCAGACACAACCCTATCTATAGCAGCATAAAGTGCCTCTAATCTCAGTCTTTTTGGACTTGAAGCACAATAAAAAATACTGACCTGGTTTTGTACTAAAGAGAGTGAGTCTGGGGGGCTGTTTACACTGTAAACACTGGTGTTGGTGCTGGTCTGTCTGCGGAGGGAACCCTGTGTGTAAACATGGCTGACTCCACCCTCAGCTGCCGGCCTTGCCCGATGGCCAAGGTAAACGGCACGTTTTAGCTTTTTATTTTCAACACCTAACTAGGCATAGATCCTAAGTGTCTTCTGCCATTTTCTTGGTCTTTTTCTGTACAAACGTCTAAGTTCCTTACATACATATCTGTTGTTTTTCCTGCCCAGTTCAGAACAGATAATTGGATAGTTTAACATGCATTTTTTATTTCCTTTCAAATACCACAAATAGCTAGACTGAAGATGCAAGATCCATTGTATTAATCCTAATGCAGCCAAGTGTAGGAACAGGGCCACTTCTGCCTTTCTCCGGAAGATGAGGTTCATAGAAGCAAAAAAAAAGACTCCTTGGTCAAGCGGAGGCCAAATGAGGAGCCCAGCACGTTGCTAAGATCACTGAAGAGCTGAGGGGGAGGGGGGAGCACTTGCTGTACTCCTGAGGAATCAAGTCTTCTCTTACCATTCCTCTTCCCCAACCCACCTGGAAAAGACCTGAAGAATCTTCAGTTTTAAATGTTTATATTTTAAATACCCCTGAAATAGAAAGGTATCTGACAAATCCTAATTTCTTATGGGAGACAAGAGAAGTGTCAACTTGTAAATTACTCTAAGCTGAATTCTCATTTGTTTGACCACTTGTCTGACAGATACTAAGTTTTTTAATGGGTCAAAAACAAAAATCCAGGGAATTCAATGTTCCAGTAAAATCCTTTGTAAGACATAGGCATTTATTGTAATTCTTCTCACATGTGCCTCCGGGAAGGGAACACACCAGTTAGTTTTTGGCCACTTCCTTCTCACCCTTCAAAAGGAATGCAACTCACCTTCCAAGACTCAGAGAGGGAAGTCAGTGAGAGGTACTGCTGGTAAACGTAAGACAGGACTGGCTTTGTTGAAACAACTAGCTATCCTACGCCCAGGGAACACCTAATACTCTCAGAGTCATGTTGTATAAAAAAATCCCACCTTTTTTAGGTTTTGGGATTATATTTGAAACCTATGTTCAGTTCATATCTAAGTTTCAAAAGCTGTACCAAATCTAGGTTTTTTTGTGTTTTTTAATACTCTGCACTGCATGCTCTGTCTATATGCATGCGTTTGGACAATAAATATTAAATATGGGGTGGGGAGAACATGTGGAATTCATAAAGTTAAAACTGAAACCAATCTGAACATTAAAAAATAGTCCATTGTAGTTAGAGAAATGAATAAGGGCTAAAAATAAACTTGAGGTAACAATAGTGGCCCAATACCACCGATCTGAAATATCTGTTAGAATTCAAATAAGTGTTTGGAGATTCAAGTAACAAATCATCTGCTCCAACTTGGTCAGACTTCCCAGTGTTGCTGGGTGTTAGTCCATGAGCCGGCATTCACACAACTCCTTGTAAATCCTCTTCCGCACTCGGGGCATGTCTTCTTGGGAAAACTGGAAAGGCTGGTCTAAGGCGAGGCACTTGCAGTACTGCAAAGGACCAAAGACAGTTAAATGGCTGAGGAGTTAGGTGCCAGCCCGGTGTATTTTATCAGACACAGACCTAATCAAGTAGACCAAGAGAGCGTTTTGAAATTTGTTTAAACTTGTTAAAAAGTTAACCTTCCACGTACGTACATGGCCTGGGATGTCCCCCCACCCCCACTTCATGCTATGAAAAGGGGAAATTGATAAGAGGCTCCATTTTCTCCAGGTACAACCAGACCTCACACGGCCTGTAACTGAGAACTTGAAGTTGTTTTCAAATCCCAGACATTCGTGAGTCATATGAATGAGCCCATCTTCCAAGATCTTGGCAGTTCTCTAAATTCACGGATGGTATACCATCATTTCCTTCACATATATAATGTGTGGCAAAATTCTCAATAGCCTTTTGATCACTAAGGGAATCTACAGTATGAGAAAGCACAGCTTTTGAACGCGACCCTTATTTAAAATCTAAATAGTTCTTACTCTATAGCTAAAGACCACTTGCCAATGGTTAAAAATATACAGTTAATTCTTCAAATGCCCATGACATGGACAAATTCAGATCAGTGTCCAATGTGGCTCACTAATAACTAATAACCTTTGATAAGACATGTGTGTTAGCAATTATTCATTCTTGGTCTTCAAAGATGGTTCTTCCTAATGATAAAATCTGAAAATACAGAATCTCCTGATTCTTAATAGGAAAGGGAGGGAGGAAGGAAAAGTACCCGTTAACTGTAGCTAGTACCATGTATACATCATGGGACTCCATCTCTCCTCTCTAAACCCAAAATTTAATTCACACATTGTAAATACTGGGGGGAAATTTTATTATTTTTTACCTGGAGCACAAAGACTCCACAGTCACTGTCATTTTTCTGTTGTGGAATACACTGTGGGGAAAAACAAAATGATCATTAAAATAAGACCAAATAATACTCTTCAGATAAGAAAATTTATTATTATAAAAAAAATAAGAGACAAGAAATGTATCTCTATCCAGGACAGCTGGTGTATATCAGTGGCTTTTAAAGTGTTTGATGTTAGCCCTGCCTGGTGTGGCTCAGTTGGTTGAGCATCATCCCCCGTACCAAAGGTTGCTGGTTCAATTCCCGGTCATGGCACGTGCCCAGATTGTGGGTTCAATCTCCGGGTGAGGTGCATACGGGAGGAGGCAACCAATTGATGTTTCTCTCTCTCTCAAACAAATGCAAACGTATTTAAAATAAATAAATAAAGTATTTGACTTTATGGAGGTATCTGACCACATGAAAAAAGCTATCAATGAACCACAATTTATAGAACAATACTTTGCCTAGATATGAACAATGGGAAATAAAATACTATTTAAAAACTTCCACTTGGATAGTTTTGCTATGAATACACTGACAATGGAATTGTGGATCAGAGAACATGTGCCCAGATTCTGAATACTTAGACAGTAACAATCCTGCTTAGCAGTCTTCACTTTTCATCTTATATTACACAACTCAGCCCTGTTCTTCAAACAAAATTGTAAAGGTAAATAATATGTTTTCAAAAGAACTGGTTACTGTATCCCGTCTAAAATGGAAATATGAAAGATTGTGACTGACTAAATTTAAGAGAATACCTATTCTAGTTCGGCGAATTCAGAAAATTTACAAATTCAATTCTAGTTTGAACTAATATATTTACTAAGTTACTTAAAACATAAAACTGAAGCTTATGTTTCAAATTTAGCACTTGGTTCAGTTCAACAATGAACAAATAAATCTTATCTATTTGCGTTTGGGTTAAAGATTTGTTTCAAAACCCTGCCTTTATAACGTGTCAATGATCCAGACAGGCCTGCGTTCAAGAACCTGGCACTCCCAATAGCTGTGGTAGCCTTTGGGGAAGGTCACACTTGGCTTCAGCTTTCTCATCTACAGAACAAAGAGGATACTTATCCCAAATGACCCACTTACCTCACAGGCTGTAAGGATCATCAAATGAGATCACACAAGCAAACACATTTTGAAAACATGAAAGCAGTGACCATCAACTGTAAGACACCGGTATATGTAACAGGGCTGAGAGCTCTGCCCCCGCACTGGGCCCATACCCAGCTTTCAGTGTCTATGGGCCAAACAGTGCTGCCTCCAGACTGTGCTCAAACTGGAACACCCCGGCCACTGTCTTCCCTAGCTGCCCGGAAAGTAACTCAGGGTGCTTGCTCCCTTTAGTAGATCCAAATAGTTGTTTCAGTATTTTCTCTGGGTCTATATGAATCTCCTGGAAATGAGAGCTATGAGGCAAAGGCAGGTGCCACCAAAACATTTTTAAATAATCATAGCATTATAAAAATAGTATAACCATATCATCCCCAGAGATGAAATTGCTAAACTTATTTGTTCTCAGCAAGCACTGGGAACAGCAGCCAGAGGGTGAACACTAAGGTTCTGAGCTGCCTCTTTGCAGCTTCCAGGGTCTTCATCACCAACTAAAAATGCTTTTAAAGACTCCTACCCATCTGATGATTCCATCCCCTTGATATGCCTGGGTTTTCATATTTATCACATACGTACCTTTGTAACAGCAGTCTGCCAACCCTGAAGAAATTCGGGTCTATTTTTTTCTCTGGCTTCAGTCAGCAAATACTTCCTTATATTCTGGTTAAAAAGAAACCACAACACAGATGCTATGTTCCATCAGCTGGTGAAAAATGGAACCTGCCCACAGCACTCAGAAGCAAAAGAGGAGACTGTGGCCCCACCACTGGTAAGAGCATGCATGAACACGTTTACAGCCGGAACTTTATTTCAGACCCTTCACTCTATAGTATTAAGGACTCTGACCTCCTGTACTCAGGTATGCACTTAGACTGTGGACACTTGATATATGTTTAATAAGAACTTTTAATTAGATGGTCAACCTTTTTCAGCAGTAAGTCAACCTGCTGAATTTGAAAGTTAAAAATTACTGCCAAAGCTCAATAAATGGAAGGAACTCATGGGAGAAATCAATAACTGAAACTAAATGAAAAACATTCCTATTTCCATATTTTTGAGAACTGCACGTAAAAGTATCATTTAATTTGTCGAGTTATAATTAAACCCATTCCAAATACTAACAGAGTCAGAATCCTGACATTTCTACCAAGATGAAGCCTACTGGAGTTTCAAACTTTCCCTCATGCCCTCACCTCCTCATGCCTCTCTGTGTAGCTCTCCTAAGAGTAGAGTTGGCCTGGCCAGTGTGGCTCAGCTGGTTGACATCATCTCGTACACCAAAAGGCTGCTGATTTGACTCCTGGCCAGGGCAAATGCCTGGATTGCAGGCTCAATCCCTGGTGGGGAAGGGGGACAGGGACGGGGCGGTGTGCAGCAGGTATCTGATTAATGTTCAGCTCTCCTATCAATGTTTCTCTTTCTTCCTCTCCCTTTCTCTCTAAAAATCAATAAAGATATTAAAAAATAATTTATTTTCCTTTAGGGAAAAAAAAGGGTTCAGAGGTTTCATGAATTAAATTAACCTCCCTAAAGGCAGAGTAGATATATGTGTGTATACATAAGTGTGTGTTTGTTTGTGTATATACACACACACATATACTAGTATACACACATATATTATGCATACATATTTTTATTGCCATAAACATGTTATTCTGTATCATTCCTGCAACTTGCTTTTTTAAACTCAATTATGTCTTGGAGATCTTTCCATGTTAGAACGTGGAAATTTATATTCTTTTTAACTGCAATGATCAGCTTAGCAGTATGACTGTAATGTACACATTTAGCTAATTTGTTGGCAGAGCTAGATTTAGGGTGTTTGGATTTTTCACTATTAGCAACAAACATCCTGGTGTATGCCCCATTCTTCTATATAAATACATATTTTTATGGAGTAGATACCAAGAAATAGAATTGGTATGCAATAATTTATAAGGTACTTAGAAATGAGTAGAATTGCAACTGTTTAAATATACATTCCACCAGAAAATGTGGGAATGTCTGTTTCCTTACACCCACATTACCAACTGAATACGTTAAATTTTTCCTGACATAACAGGCAAAAAATGGAACTGTATTTGCATTTCCTGTAAGGCATCTCTCCGTGCATTTAATGGTTATCTGCATTTTTCCTAAAAATTATTTATTTTATCCTTTGTTTCTATCAGATCCTTTTTTTTCCTTAATCATTTGTAGAAGTACTTTATATATTCTGGACAGTGACTATTACATGTCACAAACACTGTCTTCAAGTGCTCCTTTATATCTTTTGCTCTTTTGGTTCTGGGTAAGAATGCCTTCCTACTCTAAGAACATAACATTTTCTGTATTTTATTCTAACTTTTACAGTTTTATGTTTTATATCTAGGTCATTATTCCATCTGAAATTTGTTTTTCTAAATAGTATGATGTGAAAATCTATATTTTACTTTTCCAAAAAGATAGCTAATTTTCCCAATGGCATATACTGAATAGCCTGTCCTTTCCCAACTTTATCATACACTAAGTTCCCACATATGCATCAGCTGTTTCTAGATTCTTTATGCTATTCCACCAGTTTTACTCATCTATTCCTAAATAAATATAAACATAGTTTTCATTATTAAAACTTTATGATATAGCCGAAACCGGTTTGGCTCAATGGATAGAGCACTGGCCTGCAGACTGAAAGGTCCCGGGTTCGATTCTGGTCAAGGGCATGTACCTTGGTTGCGGTCACATCCCCAGTAGGGGACGTGCAAGAGGCAGATGATCGATGATTCTCTCTCATTGATGTTTCTAACTCTCTAGCCCTCTCTCTTCCTCTCTGTAAAAAATCAATAAAATATATTTAAAAAAAAAACAACTTTATAATATAGCTCTGGCCGGGTAGCTCAGTTGGTTAGAGCATCATCCTGATATGCCAAGGTTGCAGGTTTGAAACCCAGTCAGGACATATACAAGAATCAACCAATGAATGCACAGATGGGTGGAACAACAAATCCATGTTTCTCTCTCTCCAAAATCAATAAATATTTTTAAATTTTAAAGAAAAGTTTATGATGTAGTTTGACATGTAATCCTTCCTTCACTATACTAGTTCAAAACTATTTTAGCTGTTCATGCATGTGAATTCTGAAATATGGATTCCATGAAAAGCTAATTAGGTTTATTTCAAAATCCTGACGGGAAACCAACCAGGACAGAAATTGGTATATATTAGTTTGGGGAGAAATGATCTCTTTCCGATATTGAGTGTGTCTATCTATTCAGATTTCCTTTAAACACTTTTTTCATTTTTAAAAATGTCTACAATTTTTTTTGCTAGGATATATTCCTGGGTAATTTATGTCTTTGTTGTTTTTGAAAGTGGAATATTTCTGTTTTCAGACACATTTTCTAACTGGTTCTTGCTAGTGCAGAAAAATTAAGAAACCTGCTGAATTTTCTTGCTTTGTATTCCACTATCTTGTTGAACTCTCATATTTACCAGTGGATTCTCTTGGTTATAATTCATTCTAAAGAAGTTATTTTGAAGATACAGGCAAACTTCAGCTCTAAAGAGAGCGATTTCTTTCCACATTCAAAATAGTGTTAAGGAAAGGCAAAATGAAATGTATTAAAATCCAAATGAATCTCAGAGAGGGATCCAGATTATAGACAGCACCTATCCTCACGTGGAGAGTCCTCTGGCAGTCCTTCTCTGCCAACATTTCAGAGGGGTTTTATGAGCGAACTGGATCTCTGTGGTATTGTATCTATGATAATATTTGGTCAATCACAAGATAAAGAAGGGGGGGAGATGGGCATTAACTTACCTCTACACAAAACTTAAAATGAATGCCTTGCGAATCATAAAATGAAATAATTCGGTTAGAAAGTGTCACAGTAATGAGAGACCAGTGAACTTCCAGGTGAATAGGAATCAACAGAAGACTCTTTTTAAATAAATCCACCTAATCAAAAACAGAAACAGAAACGCAGCATCACCACAGGCTATCCAAATCAACAACAACAAACAGCTGCTTCAATGTCCTGACTTCTGACTGGCCCAAAGTCATAAAACTAGGAAGCGGTAAAGCCAGAATTTGAACTCAGGTCTTAGTCTGAAGCACATATTATAACTATTAAGTTATAATACACAATAAAAAACCTGATAATATAGAAAGCACCATTTTCCATTTAACCTGCTAAAGCTGTGCTTATCCACTGCCAGATATGATCTGGTCCCTTATTTTTATGCTTAACCAATTTTCTTGTGTTCACATTTAGCCTCGACTCAGGTCTTATTTAGGAAGGAGTCATGGTATTAGAAAATATGGCTATATGGTTTTTATCTTTCTACAGACTCAGTACGGTAGTTAAGACTGTGGGCTCTGAAATAAGTCTGGTCAAGTTCAAATTGTGGCTCTTCCGCTTACTGGCCAGATAACTGGCAATTTTCATAGCTTCTTTGTGCTTTGATTTCTTTAATATAAAATACCTACCTTATAAAGTTCTTGAAAGTTATAATAAATGTAAAATGCTTAACACATTATATGTAGCTAATAAATCTTAGCTATTACCATTATTACTACCTCAGGTCTCCCAGGTGTCAAAATTGATAAAAATATCCCTGATAATACTTCAAATATCTTATACATTCTAATTCATCTTTTATATCCCCATATGTCCTTTGCAACTTAGGAATATTTCCTATTCCACTCAAAATCCTAGTGTGGATGATAAGTAGTAGGTGTTTAATAAACATTTGTAAGAGAGTTAATAGATTTATTTTTTCAGGTATTTTTAAAGATTATTTTAGATATCCCTTGGGTTAAAACTATTACAAGGCTATTTTAAACTACATCAGATTCTTTTTATTTTTTAATTTATTAGGGTGACACTGGTTAACAAAATTATTCAGGTTTCAGGTGCACAATTTCATAACGCATCATCTGTACACTGTACTGCGTGTTCCCCACCCCAAGTCTCCTCACATCACCACTTATCCTCCCTCTCCTCCCCCCACAACCACACCAGATTCTTAGCAATGTTCTCAAGCCTTCCTTGCTTTCTGATATTCAGATATTGTCCTGCTCTAGATGAATCTTTTGCTAGTCTAATGACCTTAGAGCAAAGCACTTTAACACTTCTCTTTTCAGTTTTTGCATCCACAAACCTGGGATGTAGATAGAAGGAAATATTAGAAAGGACTGATAACTGGTTCTTTCCAGCTAAAAAATTTTGAGTTTCTAAAACAAGGAATCATTTAAAATACAGTCTTCAATTACACCAAATTTCTATTCTTCTCAAGAAGAAACTTTTTTGGGGAGGAATACACAGCCATGCTGACGCTTCCTACAGAGAGGTAGCCCCTGGAACTGAAGGTTCCAGCCTGCCATGACAAGGAGCTGAATTCTGCCAATAATCTGCATGAGCTTGGAAGGGTGAGAATGGAGTCTGGCTGAATCCTTGACTGCAGCCTATTGAGACCCAGAGCAGAGAATGCAGTTAACCCAGCCTGGATTCCTGAGCATGGAAACTGTGAGATAATGGAAACATCTCAGCACATGAATCTGGGAAAACAGGTGAATGAGAATGGCCCACGTGGCCTTTTAAAAGTCAGTTGTTTGCAGATTGGAGAACGCATTTATTCCATCCTAGCCAGGGTGGTGTGGCATGCTGTCTGAGGTTCCCAAAGCACCCCAAATACCCCTTGCTGGGTAAGCACCCCAAATACCCCGTGTAGGGTAAGCACCCCAAATACCCCGTGTAGGGTAACCACAACAAACAGATAAGTAAGGGCCAGGCATTAAGACCCTCTAGAAATTCTCTGGACCAACCTGATCCTCCCAAACACTGAATCATACAACTTAGAAGCTCCAAAAGCTGGACCACCGAGGTCCACAACATCTATAGCACGTGGCTGGAGAGAACCTAGTCAGAAATGCTTTATAAGCGTTTCATGATTAAAAAATAGTAAGATTTTTGGAAAATGGTATGGTGATCCCTCAAAATATTAATAAGAGAACTACCATATGATCTAGCTGTTCCACTTTTGGGTATTCATCCCCATATATTGTGACATTATTTACAATAGTGAAGATATGGAAGCAACCTAATGTCCATAAATGGATGGACGGATAAAGAAGATGCGGTGTATAAATAGACTGGAATATTATTCAGCCACAGGAAAGAATAAAATCTTGCCATTTGCAACAATCTGAATGGAGTTAGAGGGTACTATGCCAAGTGAAATAAGTCAAATGGAGAAAGACAAATACCACATGATTTCACTTACATGTGGAATCTAAAAGAAAACCCCAAAAAACCCAGTCTCAGAAATACAGAGAACAGATTGGTGATTACTAGATTGGAAGAGGGTTCGGGGTGGGCAATATGAGTGAAAAGATCAATTGTGTGATGATGGATAGTTACTAGATTTTTAAAAAATATATATTTTATTGATTTTTCACAGAGAGGAAGCGAGAGAGGGATAGAAAGTTAGAAACATCGATGAGAGAGAGACATTGATCAGTTGCCTCTTGCACACCCTATACTGGGGATGTGCCCGCAACCAAAGTACACGCCCTTGACCGGAATCGAACCCGGGACTTTTCAGTCCGCAGGCAGACGCTCTATCCACTGAGCCAAACCGGTTTCGGCAGTTACTAAATTTTTTATGGCAATCATTTTGTAATGTATACAGATGTCATACCTGAAACTTACATAATGTTATATAACAATTTTCCCTCAATAAAAAAACAAGAGGGGAAAAATACCAAACTTTTTAAATTATAGAAACAATTTTTCACATAAGAATTAGCCCTGGCCGGGGTGGCTCGGTTGCGGCATCCTTCCCGTACACTGAAGAACTGTGGGTGTCATTCCCAGTCAGGCGCATGTCCAGTGGAGGCGCATGTGGGCAAACCTATCTCTCTGTCTCTGTCTCTGTCTCTGTCTCTGTCTCTGTCTCTGTCTCTCTCTCTCCCTCTCCTCCTTCTCCCCCTCCCTCCCTCTTCCTTCCTCTCAAATAAATTAAAAAATAAAAATTAGAAACTTACAGATAAAAAGATAAAACTTCAGTGTGTATCTTTCCAGATGTTTTTCTTCTTTTTTTCTAATATATTAATTTTCTCTCTCTCTCACACACACCACACACACACACACACAATTAAGAGTGATCGGCCCGGCTGGGTGGCTCAGTTGTTGGAGCATAATCCCATTTACCAAAAGATGCAGGTTTGATTCCAGGTCGGGGCAAATACCTAGGTTGCGGGTTAAATCCTCCATTGGTGTGTGTACGGGAGGCAACCAATCGATGTTTCTCTCTCACATGGATGTTTCTCTCTTTCTCCTTTCCTCTCTTTCTAAAATCTCTAAAAATATATCCTCAGCTGAGGATTAAAAAAAAAAAAAAGAGTGAAGTAAGAACCATATCTATGCTGCCTACAAAACACCCACTTCAGAACTAAAGACACACATCATGAAGGGACTGAAAACATATTTCATGAAAATGAAAATGAATAGAAAGCTAGAGTAGCAATACTAATAATAGAAAATAAACTTTGAACAAAGAAGGGCATTATATAATGATCAACCCAACAAGATGATAGGGCACTTGTAAACATCAATGCACCCCAAATGGGAACAACTAATACATAAAACAAATATTAACTGGAACAAAGGAAGAGATTGATAGTAATATAATAACAATGGTAGGGACTTTAACACCTCACAACAATGAATAGAAAGAACAAGGAGCCTGGCCAGTGTGGCTCAATGGGTGGAGCACTGTCCTATGTATCAAGAGGTCACTGGTTTGGTTCTTGGACAGGGCATATGCCGGGATTGTGGCTTTGATTCCCAGTAGGATGTATGCAGGAGGCAGCCGACCCATGTTTCTCTCTCATCGATGTTTCTCTCTCTTGCCCTCTCCCTTCCTCTCTATCTAAAAAAACAACATACAACCATAATTAAAAAAAGAAAAAGAGCTAACAAGGAAACTCTGGCCTTAAATGTCACATTATACCACATGAATTAATAAGTATATACAAAACATTACATCTAAAAACAACAGAACACACATTCTTTTCAAGTGCACAGGAAACATTCTCCAGGATAGATCACATATTAGTCCACAGAAAGTTTCAATAAATTTAAGACTGAAATCATATCAAGCACTGTTTTCTACCATAATGCTATGGTTCTGGAAAACAATTATCTTTAGGAACAGTCAGTTTAGGGGCTGGTGCAAAGGATGAATTGCACATTGTTGAAGCAGAGAATGAATTATGAAGGCAGTCCAATTAAAGTAACACTGGCAACTTTGGAAATGTCTGTGGCTTTGAAATAATGCCACCTGGAGGGGAGCAATGGAGGGGGGGGGGGAAATGAGGAACATTCATAATAATATGAACAATAAAGATTTATTAAAGCTGAAGCCGGTTTGGCTCAGTGGTAGAGCGTCGGTCTGCGGACTGAAAGGTCCCAGGTTCGATTCCGGGCAAGGGCATGTACGTTGGTTGCGGGCACATCCGCAGTAGGGGGTGTGCAAGAGGCAGCTGGTAGATGTTTCTCTCTCATCGACGTTTCTAGCTCTCTTATCTTTCTCCCTTCCTCTCTGTAAAAAATCAATAAAATATATTTAAAAAAAAAAAGATTAAAAAAAAATGCCACCTGTTGTTTTATGGGTGAAGTGCGGTTCAGGGCCTATGCATATTAGTGGAGAGCACTTCAGTAGCTGTGGAGGAGTCAGAAGCAGAGTCAGAAGATGAGAGGAGGAAATGAAACTCCTAAGTGTGTCTGCTAAGCGTTCTGCCCCCGGAAGAGGTAGCAAGGTTCCACAGAAAAAGATCAAAGTTACTGCTGCTGAAGATGAGGATGACTAAGAGGAGAAAGAAGATTGTTGAGGATGAGGAAGCTGAAGCCGGTTTGCCCTCTCCCTTCCTCTGAAGCTGAAGAAAAAACTCTA